CCCAAAATATCCCCAAATCCCTGCAGGGAGCCCGACACACCTGGGCACGAGGAGCACGACGAGCTCTGAGCCCCAAAATGTCCCAAAATATCCCAAATTATCCCCAAAAAATATCCCAAATTATCCCCAAATCCCTGCAGGGAGCCCGACACACCTGGGCACGAGGAGCACGACGAGCTCTGAGCCCCAAAATGTCCCAAAATATCCCCAAAAACATCCCCAAAATATCCCAAATTATCCCCAAAATATTCCCAAAATATCCAAAGAAAATCCCCAAAATAACCCCAAAAATTTACCCAAAAGATCCCAAAAAAATCCCCCAAAAAACCCTGGAAAAAATCCCAATAAAAGCCAGAAAAAATCCCAAAATAACCTGGAAAAAAATCCCAAAATAACCCGGAAAAAATCCCCCAAAAAACCCAAAATAACTGAGAAAAAAATCCCAAAATAACCCAGAAAAAATCCCAAAAAACCCAGAAAAAAATCCTAAAAAACCCAAGAAAAAATCCCCCAAAAAATCAAAAAAGAAATCCCAAAAAACCCAGAAAAAATCCCAATAAAACCCAGAAAAAATCCCAATAAAAGCCAGAAAAAATCCCAATAAAACCCAGAAAAAATCCCAAAAAACCCTGGAAAAAATCCCAATAAAACCCAGAAAAAATCCCCAAAAACCCAAGAAAAAAATCCCCAAAAAACCCCAAAATAACCCATAAAAAAATCCCCAAAAAATCCAAAAAAAATCCCAAAAAACCCCATAAAAAATCCCCAAAAATCCCAAAAAAAATCCCGAAAATAAAACCAGCAAAAAGCCGTTTAAAAATCCAAGTGTGAGTTTTATTGGGGTCAGAGCTCGTCGCGCGGCGGCGCCGGGGCCGTCTCGGTGTCGCTGACGTAGCCGGGCTCCCCCGTGTAGTGAGTGGGGAACAGCAGCAGCGGCTCCGCCGAAAACGCCTCCAGATCCCGCCGGGAAAAGTAGCGGGAGTACTCGGGGCTGGGAAACGGGGAGAAACGGGGGGAAATGGGGAAAAATGGGGAAAAACGGGGTGAAAACGGGGAGAAATGGGGTGAAACGGGGTGAAAATGGGAGAAACGGGGTGAAAATGGGGAGAAACGGGGTGAAAACGGGGTGAAAATGGGAAAAAAATGGGGGGAAATGGGGAGAAATGGGAAAAAAATGGGGAGGAATGGGGAAAAATGGGGAGAAAATGGGAAAAAATGGGGAGAAATGGGGGAGAAATGGGAAAAAAATGGGAGGAAAAATGGGGGAAAAGTGGGTGAAGAAAATGGGGTGAAAATAAGGAAAGAACAGGAAAAACAGGGGAAAAGTGAGGGAAAATGGGAAAAACAGCAGCAACTCATCCCTGTCCCACATATCTCACATTCCCAATCCCATAAACCCCAAATATCCCATAAACCCCAAACCCCAAATCCCATAAATCCCGAATCCCGTTACCTGGGGTGTCTGTGGAACACGAGGGGCAGGAACTGATCCCTGTACCACACATCCCACAATCCCATAAACCCCAAACCCCATAAATCCCATAAATCCCTGATCCCCGATCCCATAAATCCCTGATCCCAAATATCCCATAAATCCCATAAATCCCATAAATCCCATAAATCCCATTACCTGGGGTGTCTGTCGAACATGAGGGGCAGGAACTCGTCCACGGGCACCATCTTCCCCAGGGGATCAGCACCCCAAACCCCA